GAAAGAAGAGAGTCTACTCTTTCTTTTGGTGTGTTCGGTGTTTACAGAGTCATAGCACAAACTATTCTGTGGCTCTTGAAAAATCAGTCAAAATGCTAAAAAAAACTCTGGCAGTATGGGACTCTGTTCTGAAAATGGCTGCCAGTCAATGAGTTAAGCACCGAGTGTTCTGGTTCTGGTTCTGGTTCTGGTTCTGATGGTGGGCGGCCTTCTGATGGCGTCCTGCCCCCACCCCCCCCCCCCACAGGAGGAGAGCCCTGAGGATCTCCCCGGGCCTGGACCAGATGGGCTCCCTGAACTGGGACCTGGCCCTGTGTCTGCTCCTGGCCTGGGTCATGTGCTACTTCTGCATCTGGAAGGGGGTGAAATCCACCGGGAAGGTGGGTAATTCTTCCTTCTTCTGGGGGGGGGGCAGATCCGGAGGATTCGAGGCTCATTTTTCTGCTTTTTTCCAGGTGGTCTACTTCACCGCCACCTTCCCGTACCTGATGCTGATCGTGCTGCTGATCAGAGGCCTCACGCTGCCGGGGGCCGCCATCGGGATCAAGTTCTACCTTTACCCCGACCTGGGGAGGCTGGCCGACCCACAGGTAGGAGGAGACGGGACAAAATGGCCTCTGATCCCCCCCCCCCACACCAGAACGGGCCTCTGCTGGGTCCATCTGCTCTCATAAAGAGACTGTAAACACCAGACCTCCCTCTGAGAGTCCCTCACTTACAAAGGATTCAAAACATCCCTAAACAAGCCCAGACTAAACCGTCTGGATTAGGGACGTCCCGATCCATCTTTTTGTATTTCCGATCCGTTCCCGGCCTATCAGAGCATGTGTTAAAGTTTAAAGTTATTTATTCTACTTCCATAGTTATCAGACTCATGTTGAACAGGGATTTACTCTGATAACAACTTAATGGTTAGGACACAGACCTGTGGGTTAAGAGATGCTAATGCTAATGTGGGATCAGACTTTTAAAAAAAAACTGGATCTGGAGTCTGGATGTGCATTTTTCTCGCAGTTATTCCAATTTTTTTTTGCAAATATCGGCATCTGATCCAGATATTGGATCTGGACAAGCCTATTCTGGCCTATAACAGGGGCCTCTGGCCTATAGATATCCCGATCCAGCTTTTTTCACTTCCGATCCGATCCCGGCCTATCAGAGCATTTACTAAAGTTTAAAGTTATTTAGCTACTTGCTTACTCATGCTGAACAGGGATTTATTCTGATAACAACTTAATGGTTAGGACACAGACCTGTGGGTTAGCATATGCTAATGCTAATGAGGGTGTGGGATCAGACTTAAATAAAAACTGGATCGAAAGTCTCGATCTGCATTTTCTCGCAGTTTTTCCGCTTTTTTTTTTGTGCAAATATCGGCATCCGATCCAGATATTGGATCCAGACAAGCATACTCTGGCCTATAGCGGGGCCTCTGGTCTATAGATGTCCCGATCCAGCTTTTTTCACTTCCGATCCGATCCCGGCCTATCAGAGCATGTATTAAAGTTTAAAGTTATTTATCTACTTACTTAGTTGTCAGACTCATGTTGAACAGGGATTTACTCTGATAACAACCTAATGGTTAGGACACAGACCTGTGGGTTAGGAGATGCTAATGCTAATGCTAATAACGCTCATGTGGGATCAGACTTTAAAAAAAAAACTGGATCTGGAGTCTGGATGTGCATTTTTTTCGCAGTTTCTCCACATTTTTTTGCAAATATCGGCATCTGATCCAGATATTGGATCCAGACAAGCCTACTCTGGTCTATAGCGGGGGCCTATAACAACTTCATGGTTAGGACTCAGAC